ACGAGCGCACGATAGCCCTGCGGAGTCAGCTTCCGCAAGCTTTCTTGTTCGAGTTGGTAACAATGTTAGCGAGGGGCGAGCGACCAAAGATGGAGAAGGAGTGGTGCGAGTTCCACGAGCACGAAAGCGAGGAGGAGAAGAAGGCTTGCTTGGACGATCTGGCTAAGGATCCGGTTGCAAGCAAAGCGCTTAGGCGGATCAAGGATAGTAAGGGCTGGAAAGGCTTGGTACTCAAGAAGGGAAAGAGATGATGATACGACGATCCATCTTCGCATGTCTTTTTTGGTCCGGTATGGCGTCTTGGAGTTCGATAACACCAGCTATCCTGGTTATGCAATCTAGCAACACATTTACTATTTCGAGCTCTTCGCATTCGCGCACATTCGAATAATCTGTCTGGTTCGATCATGCTTTGTTCCCAAGCTACTAACTTTCGTGTTTCCCCAGCTTCATCAGCAAGCTGAAGAATGCGGGGAAGCAACACGAGGTCTCATGACTAAGTAAATCATCATCACGAGATTGTTAACTCGACAAGTCTTGCTAAATTTACTTCTCGGTGGTTTTTCACCAGTTGGCTTCTAGTGGCATCGTAGGGTCTGGCAAATCGAAGTGTGCTCACCACCTCATTCACGACTGTCTGGCAGTACGAGATCAAGAGGTCTTGTAGAATCACTATAGTTCAGCTTGACGTTTGGCCATCGTACTGGCCGACAAATCAGGAGGAGCAGGCTCTTGAACTCTGTATGTATGCTGTATATAGATTCTTGGTATCGATGCAGCCGCATAAGCGGAGCATGATGCTGAAGTCGAAGCCGCGCAGCTGAGATGGCAAACTTGAAGTATAAAGAAGAAGTCTTCATGTGTTCACTGTCGCCTATCCGCATCATTATCTACAGTGTAATAGCAACTGCATCTATACTTCTTCCCAAAGCTCAACCTATCATCATGAAGGTCTTCACTATCACAGCAATTTCCTCTCTTCTCACCCTTACCGCTGCCTTGTCTCCGCCATACGAACCCATTTGTGAGACATGCGTCTATACACCCAATGAAAACAAGTGCGACATCACTACGTCCTGCACGTATGTTTGGGGCCACGACAACCCACATACACCTGGCCCATACTACTGCGCTTGCCGCCACGGTTATCGTACGTCTCGCTCTATCCAGCGAAACCTTCAGTTATTCTCTATTTGCTATCGGCATGTAACGCTGACACATCCGGATAGGTGCGACTGGGTATGAGGCCAACAACATGGAGGTGCAATGGCGTCTGCCATGGTATGGCACGCCGAGCGGCGATCCGAGCCAGGAAGGGAGGGTATTCGTGAAGCCGGGGGTTGAATGTAATACGCTCTGTGATGATTGGTATCTCGGCAAGGACGGGTGCAAGGCTGTGCAGGAGAAGAAGTGGTGTATGTAGGTGAGACTGTCGGTAGTCTTGAAGTAGACCCTGGGTATAAGTGGGACGCATTTGGAGCTACCTTCCGGGGGTACGTGCCGTTGGTCAAGGAACGATCCAATAGCTTCAGGGAATCACTCAATGCACGCTGCATTACTGACAATTCGATATCGATGAATAGTGTATCGTCTTCTATTACTGTACTCCGTTCATTTCTAGGTCTAGGTATTCGGGTGGGTAATCATTTGACTCGTGCTAATCGATACTTCTTTAGCTCCTTGTCCCATCTTATCAACTCGTTCTTGCCAACGATCACAATCGCTGCCGGTTTATGTACGAGTCTCACGCGTTTGAAGCAAGTCATATCATATCCATCCAGACTTTTCCCGCTGGCCAACCAAATCTTTTGTTGCTGAGTTATGAGTTGTCTAGGACTGCTGATATCTTGAGCTTCCTGAATCCTCCGGAACGATATCCCACAAATCGGACAGCGTCTATCCGCTCCAAAACATTGTTCTGAAGGAGCAGAGCATGCGGGACATGTATCTCCATAGCTCCAGTCGTCAAAAATGAAACTCATCTCAACTCGCTGACCAGGTAGGAAAGCATGTTGCCATGGACGCGACAACTCAATTTCTCTTCCTGTGTCCCCGGCTTGCAACCCATAACTTCGCTGCTTCATTGTACTATGCCCTGGAATGTTCTGGAACCGCGTCTCGAGTACGGAGTGGAATGCATCCCAGGAAGTAATAAATTGTAGATGTACAGGAGTAATGCGACCGATGGGATCTTCCAAGATCATAGGTTCTTCGATGAGTCCTCGGTCCAAGTGACTAGGAAGAGCATTTTGTATCTGAATGACCGCACGGTACGTCGCAAAGTTGACCATCATCGCACTTCGCATCAATCCTATGAGTTCACAACCAAGGTTCCGAAGCCACCCAAGCTTGATCGCTTCCGATAGATTTTCAAGAATGGAGTTTCCAGCTTCGATATTGCGATTAGCGTTCTCGAGTCCGTCTTTGATGGCGCTAAGGGATGCGTCATGCGAAAGAGTAGCATTGTCGCTCCTGCGCATCACATCGTCCAGGTCGTGTTTCATCTCTTTTCGGTTTACCTGGAGTAGTGTGCTGTAAGATATCAACATTGGATCTACCCACCATGACTCTGCCACTCACGTATTAGCCGTCACCATAAGCATTTGAAGGCTCGATGTAGTCCCTGCTAGCTCTGCTCGAAAACGCTCGAGTGCTTCCTTCTCCCCAATTCTCCAACGAATCGCATGCCCTATCTCCTTGAGCGCATTCGGATTCTGGCCGTAGTCGAAAGTACTCTGATATTTTCGAATGCGCTGCAAAAAGGTCGTGACCTGGTCGTGGCACCTAGCAACGGCTCGCTTGGCTGTCCCACATAGGCCTCGTAACTCTGGCGTAGCGCCGTCTGCATGCTCTCTAGTGAGCAGTTCGATTTCAAGCAGAGTGCGGTCAAGGAGCCAAAGTTCATGTATGGCAGCCTGGTACTCAGCCTTGGAGCCACGAGCCTCGTCGAGCGTTGCTACTAGATCTTTCACGAGTAAAACGACCGAAATGATGTCGCCTACAGCACCGAAAGTGACTGGCATACTGAAATCAGACAGAATGAAGATCTACAGATGTGAGAATGTCGGAAAGGAAAAGCTCTGTTTTACCCTGCTGAGAAGTACATTGGCAGTGATGCAGGTGCGACGAGGCTGAGCCGCTAAGCCTCCATGATGTCCAATGAGTAACGGGTAACACAAGACGCCACTCCAAGGATACAATTGCCAACTCATGCATTCTCTATCTGACAAAAAAACATCTGCAGCCACTAAGCCTCCGAAGGTGCGGGGTACTCAATCTTACTCTCCGGTTTTCTTTCCTCAGTGCGCACCTTGAAGCGATCGGTCTTCTCGTCCGCCCAGTGTGGACGCTGGTCGAATCCGAACTGTAGAATCTCCGGGCGTTGATAATGGCCCGCTGCATCAATCCATACCTTTACAGACCCCATGTGTGAGAAGTCAATCTCGCCCTGTACCAACTTCTCCTCTCCACCGGTGTGCGGACCAGCGATAAACGAGCAGAACGGATGGATGACTGAAGACCAACCGCCACCAAGCTTGACGAGATCCTGCTTTCCAAGATTAGTCTCCATCCAGTCGAGGCACTGTTGGTCGACATAGTCAGAAACTGCGATAACAAAGACTTGGGCAGTTAAAGCATGTGTCTTCATCAGCGCTTCGATTTGCGCATTGGCGACATCCTCGAAACCGGCCATCGCTGACAAGGCTGGCCAAGCTCCAGCATGGATGTGTTGGTTCTGGGTGATGAGTGCCTGGCGTGCGCCGTTCATAGTATGCTCCCAGCAGGCCAGACCTCCAAGGTTGTAGCCCAAGGAAAGTGGCCAGTTGCGCAGTGTGCTTCCGTTGCCCTGAGCCCACACCATGCGCTCGACGAAAGTTGGCTGGAGCTTCCGATGAACGCCGAGGATAGTGCCGTCGCTATCGATGATGACCTGCGAGTTGAATAGTGTATGACCGTTTGCGATACGCTCCGAGATTCCGAGATTGATCGCTACACCGGTACGGCGACACGCATCTTGAATGGCGCTGACGTCTTCCCCATTTGGCTCCACAACTACGCTCTCCTCAGCGTACTTGGCCAAAGCAGTAACCTGCTTGAGGGGTGGGTAGCACTCAGTCCACCACTGTGGTAACGATTAGGATCACTTTTAACCTTGACGTTGAGAGCGGGGACACGTACGGGGTAGCCGGGGATGAAGGTTTCAGGAAACACCAGGAGCTTGATGTCGTCTTTCGCCGCTTGCTCGATGAGCCGAACAGTCTTCTTGATAGTGCCCGCCTTGTCCATAAAAACAGGTGCAGCGTGAGCCGCAGCCACCTTGAACTTGGTTTCTTTAGGCGCCATGTTGTTGGAATCTGATGTCGAAGATGGCAATTGGTTGAGTCAAGACAAGCAAGGTGTAGAGAACGTGGAGAGGAGAGCTGGTGTGGCCCAGATTTCACGGGTTATGGTGCCCACTAAGACGATCTACTACCGGAAAAGGTTGCGGCACGTCGTTATCTCCCGCGTAGCTAAAAAGGCCCGAGTGGCTTTGGTAGGCCCGATCCGGGGTTTCCTCATCCTTTCCGCACTCCCATACGAGGGACCCCACACTGTCATTACTTGTGATAGGACGATATGCAGCAAGTACCTGGCCCGTCACACCACACGTCCCTTCGGAGCGTTTTGACCCTGAATATATGTAGTTAATGCAAACGGCGTCTCCGCCTAAGCTAGCTACAGATTTTTGCGAGGACTCTTTTTCTTTGGCTGCACAACACTCACGTCCCACAGGAAACTATACCGATTGGCCTCTCAATCGTACCGACTTCGGGAAATATCCGCTGCCAAGTGCTTTCTGTGACTCGGTGCCCTACCCTGCTCGATATCGTGCTGCACTGATGCGTTCGGTGTATTGAGTATGTGGTTCGATAATCAGTGTTGAAGGCTCGAAGCCCGTTGCACAGTTTTGACGTTTGTCACTTCGTCCTGTTCTACCCCAACGCAACCAGCCTGTAAACATGGCATTTGACTACTTTGCTAACCCGCCGCCTGGTATTGACTTGTCGGAGTCACGCACTACTTCCAACAATGCTATCGGCATTGTGCTTTTTGTTCTTTCGTTCGTTTTCGTCGCGTTGCGTCTCCTCACTCGCCTGCGTCTTAAACGTGAGGTACTGGGACTGGACGACTATCTAATGTTTCTTGGGTTGGCTTTGAATGCTGGCAACTTGGCTTGCTGCATCGCAGGTAGGGTACTTGATCATGAAAATTTGCGACATCTGCTGACATCAAGATCAGGGGGCTTCTTCGGTCTCGGAAAGCACATATGGTCTTTGGGGCCGTATGAAATGCGACAAATCACAATAGTGCGTTGTTACTTCCCGTAGCACGACAGTATATCAGTGCTGACAGCGGCTAGATCACTTTCGCGTATGTGTACATCTACACATGGAGTTTGTGTGTTATCAAATTCTCAATTCTGGCTTTATATCGTCGAATTTTTGGGATGACATGGCTTGGCTGGTTTTGCGTCGTTCTCACTGCCGGTTATCTAATCACTAACCACGTCGTCTTACCACTGTATACACGACCACTACACTACTACTGGAATCAGTGGTATGGTGGTGAAGGCGTGGTACTGGTGAACGAGGCAAAGGTGGGCTCTCCTCAAACCAAAATCGCCGTTCGCAACTGACGAGACTCCAGTTCTATCTTGGTATCGGTATTATCAATCTTTTCGGCGATATATGTATCCTCACGATACCTGTACAAAGCGTGCTCAAGCTGAACATGGGACGATCGCAAAAGGTCGCAGTGATCCTCACGTTTTTACTCGGCAGTTTGTAAGTCCTGGACCATAGCAAGCTTATGCAATGAACAATCACTGACTTATCCAGTGTCTGTTTTGCGTCTCTATACCGCATCATCACTATTGTCCACCTCGTTAATACAACAGACATTAGCTGGGCGAAGAGTGACGTGTTCATCTGGTCTTCCGTAGAACCCTCGGTCGGCATCATCTCCGGTTGCCTGCCCACCCTTCGTCCGCTGCTTCTGCAAGTCACGGATGTGCTCTCTAGGAGCCTGCCATCCACGCTCAAAGGTTCGCACCACATGGAATCTCCTGCGCACTCGCTAGATCCACTCGAAACGATTTCCAAAAAGCGCACGCGGAAGATAAAGGTCAACGATACGTTGGAGGGCACCACAGTCACTCAAACGGAGATTCGAACCGACAGAAAGTCATGGATGAGATCGAATAAAGATCATGAGCCATGGGGTAGATCTCGGTTAGATGAAGATGAGATAGGTCTAACAACAACCCATGTGCATGGAGAATGTCCTAATGCAGGACGCAAGGCATCGAGCGAAGTCCGGATAAGCGAGTCGCCTCCAAATGATAGAAGAGAAAGAGGGATCACTCTGACGAGAGAGTTTGAATGGGATGAAAGAAAACAGAGTCCTGTTCCCCGCAAATAGACAAGCCTTCTCGTACTGAGCGGGAAAAGCACCCTATGATCATCTCCATACCTAGCATCCAAACTAAAAGTTCTGCCAACTACCGATCCCACTTTCATGGATACGAAGACTAACAAATTACATCCACGAAAGCATTCTGTGTTGTGTTATACACTTTTTGGAGGCTTTGACAGTTTTGAAACTTTTGCGGGTTGGCATGTGACACATTGCAGCCTCGGAAGAGCCGCAGACGACTCCAATGGATGGAGCTGCGCGCTTTCGCGCAACCTGCATCAAGTCTCGCGCGTGGTAGGTAAATTCATAACTAGCTGGTTTTGGATGCGCGCATCATATTTAACATGGTTGACAGTCCATAGGATGCGATGAAGTGGACAATAACATCGACAGGAGGGAGACGCAATGGGCCCACCAAGAACAGCAAAAAAAAAAAGTGTTTCATAGACTAGGCTATAAGAATGCTTTCCCCACGTGTTGTCTGATCAATGCTTCGTGTTTTAAGGGACTACTAGCGCTCACATAAGCACCAGGCCCACTCCCGTAGAGTAGCGCCGGCTAGGTCCCGAGGTCGTATCACTTGCAGCCAGACTGTTCAGCATACCCCGGTTTCCGGTTCCCAAGACCTTGATATACCGATTATCGTAGCGAAAGCTGTCAGTCTTACTCTAAGCCCTAGTGATCAGAGATTACGTAGTCACAGGAGAATCTGACCTGATAGTCATGTCGAAGTTGATCTACAATCTCGGTTCTGGGACACACATATATATACAGCATCAGAGGAGCCTCCTTTGCTCTCACGAATCTGCAACAACCTTTAGTCGGACGGTTCAACCACCCAAGACCGAGCTTTACTACAAGCTTTCGTTATGCAACTCTCAATATTTCTCTCTACTATATTTATAGGACTCACAATTGCAACGCCTAGCGGCACAATCGAGGAAGGACCAAATAAGGTCCTACGAGATTTTCCATCACGCGAGACTGAAGCAAACTGCATTGTAAATGGAGAATGTCGAAAGCTTACTTGTATCGCGCCATCAGACTTTGAATCTTGTAGCCCTTGCGGTGGGCTGGTAAGTTCCTCTGGTTTGAATATTCTCCCGATTAGTGCTGACGATCCGATTTCAATAGCCGCCTTGTTAGGATGCTGTCATGACTTGCGATGGGCAGTAAGGAAGTACATGATGATACATGCAAGAGGAGGAACTTCACCGAAAGATTTGTCGCGTTTGTCATATATTATGTGTTCCGGCGTGCGGATTGGATATGATAGTTTCATATTTCGCCGAATAGAGAGCCTGAATGGAGACTCATACACTCTTGGTTGGTTAATCCAACATGATTGTAGTATGGATAACTACAAGGAACAGTGCAGCTTCGATGTAACTGATCGATGGATAGACAGACACTTGCAAGAAGATTCAGAGCGTGATTACAAATGCCCGTGTACCCTTTTATGCCTGTGAAAGTGTGGCTGCACAGTCGCAGAAGACGTAGCCTCGTTCGACGCTGAAGTGACACTCACACTGACCGAGATATGCCCAGATGATGAACTGCCAGGAGTCGTAGTCTCATCGAGCATGTTGGCCACCATTCCCATCGCATTCGCAGAAGGCACCATCGTGGCGCCCCACGGTGCCACGTACGATGTGTATGTTGGCTTGAAGCCAATCGTACTCACGCAATAGTCATAGCCATATCCAGAGTTGCTAACAATCAATCCAAACTGATGAGACTGACTGACTGACTGATTGCTTGGCAGTCAGTTCAGTGTCAGTTTAGAGCTCTCGTCTTATCAGTCAGTTCAGTTTAGAGCTCTTAAACT